CTCCTCCTGCCGCCCGCTGGGCTCCGGTGCGGGCCCTGGCCCGACCGGGACGGCCCCGGCCCCTGCCCCTACCCCTACCCCTGGGGCTGGCCCGGCAGGTAAGGGTGGCAGCGGCGGAGGCAGCCCCGGGCCCACGGCGGGACCGGAGCCCCTGAGCCTGCCCGGGATCCTGCACTTTATCCAGCACGAGTGGGCGCGCTTCGAAGCCGAGAAAGCCCGCTGGGAGGCCGAGCGTGCCGAGTTGCAGGTAAGCACCACCCCGCGACCCCCGGGAACCCCGGCTCCCCACCCAGCCCAGCCCGGCCTCACCCGCCGCAGCCGCCGCCGCCATCTTGGAGCAATGGCCGCCGGGACGGCTGGGGGGGGCGGGAGGGGACCGCGACCGGTTCGCGGAGGGACTGAGGGGACGTCCGAGGGGGGTCCGAGGGGGACCCGGGGGCTTGAGGGGACTGAGGGCGGCTCGAGGTGGGTGTCTGGGAGACTCGGGGGCGGGGGGGAGTGACCGGGACCAGCAGAGAGAAGGGGATGGTAGGAGACGGCTTCGGCCAGAAGTGGGAGTGAGCCTCCCGGCAGAGGGCTTCCCGACGGGAGGGGGACTCGGGGCGCGAGGGGAATCTGAGAGAACTCGGGAGAGGACTTTGAGGGGTCTGCAGACGACCTGAGCGGTCGCGTCTGGAAGTGAACAAAAGCGGCGGACCACAGAGGTGCCCGCGACTCCCGCCCCCTCCGGGACCAGCTGGGGGTGGAGGTGGAGCCTGCTGGAGCGAGGGGGCGTCCGCGGGAACTTGGCACCCGCTGAGGGCACCGGCGGGTCCGAGCCGGGAACCGGGATGATAGGGAGGGAGTCGGGGAGCCTGGGATGGTCGTGTTGGGGAGCATTTGGACGGCGGCACCGAAAGATGGCTGTGTGGGGACTGTGGGGGTGAGAGGTGCATCCGAGGGGTCCAGGACCAAGGCGTGTATCCTCTCCGGGAGGGAGACAACTTGAGGAGTCCTGGCATGGATGGTCACAGGGTTTGAGGAAGGGGTCCCTTGAATGGAGAAGTGCCCCCAAGGAGCTTAGGTGAAAGAGCTCGAGAGGCCAACTCCAATTTGGGGGTGTGGAGGAAGTGGGGGGCTGGCCCCGAGATGGCACATGTGTAGAGGATGTAAAGTGGAGAGCCTTGAGATGGAGGTGTCGGGGGTCAGGCATACTTGCTGTGGGGAGGAGGGGCCCTGGGCTGGGGGCCATGAGGAGGAATCTGGGGTGATGAGGGGTGGAGGCATTTCTGAAGGACCCTGGGAAAGATGTCTTGTCTTCGTGGAATAGTAGCTTGGGAGAGGGGAGTTGCCTTGGGACGATGGATGGAAGAGGCTGGGGAGTTGGGCTGCTTTTTGTGACCTTGAGGAGCGTGGATTTGTCAGCAGAGTGTTGGGTGGAGCCTGGTGATCAGACGTGAGGATCTGAAGGGGTCCAGGGCCAGCATGAGGCGTCTGAAAGGTCCCAAGCTGGGGTTTTATTGGTTGAAGTAGCAAGCCGTCTTTCTCCATCTGATTTGTTATTTACCATCAGGCTGAAATGAAGATTTGAAGGAATAAGTGATCAGGATTATGTCCATAGACTAAAGAGAGGATTCTCTCCTCCAGATTAAAATTCAGTGTGTTTGTATGTCTTCCACGACTCTTTCCCACACCACTGGGGCTCTCAGCTGTGCGGTAGCCGGGGCTGGGCGCAGGGCTAGGGAAGGGATCCTTATGTCAGTGTCCCTCACTTCCTGTTGGTCTCCTTCCAAGCTCTTTCCCAGCTTAGGTGCCCTTGGATCCTCTCAACACCCCACGAGGTAGGCAGGACCATCGCCATTACCCTCACTCAGCAATGAAGGAGCCCTGGTGAAAAAACCAAGCTCATTGCCATCAAGCCATCGATTTACACTCACAGCGCCCCTAGAGGACAGAGTGGAACTGCCCCATGGGGTTTCCAAGGCTGTCATCTTAAGGAGACATCTGCCGCATCATTCTGAGCTGAGCATCTACTGAGCTGGAATCACCAACCTTTTGGTTAGCAGCCCGACACTTAACCACTGTGCCACCACCAGGGCTCCTTCAGTAGTGACAGCAGCTACCGTTTATTGAGCACTTATTATGTGCTGGGCACTGTATTAAGCACTTTAAATACAGGCGGTCATTTAATCCTTGCAATATTCTGGGAGGGTAAGTGACATTTAGCCCCTCCTCCCCCTTCAGGAGCTCTGTTGGTGCAGTGGTTAAAGCAATTGGCTGCTATCCAAAAGTCAGCAGTTTGAATCCACCAGCCCCTCTATGGGAGAAAGATGTAGCAGTCTGCTTCTGTAAAGACTTATAACCTTGGAAACCCTCTGGGGCAGTTCCACTCTGTCCTCTAGGGGCGCTGTGAGTAGGAATAGACTCCACTAAGTGGGTTTGGTTTGGGCTTTGCTGCTGTAAAGATTGACAGCCTTAGAAACCCTATGGGGCAATTCCACTCTGTCCTCTAGGGGCGCTGTGAGTGGGAATCAACTCCATGGCAGTGGGTTTGGTTTGGGTTTTGCTTCCAGAAAGATTTACAGCCTTGGGAATCCTATGGGGCAGTTCCACCCTGTCCTGTCGGGTCGCTATGAATTGGAATTGACACGATGGCAGTGCGTTTGGCTTTGCACCATTACAAAATCCAGAAGCAGACTCAAGGAGGGTAAATTTCTCCAGGATCCCAGCCGGGTAGTGGCCGAGCTGGTCCTTGGGCTTTGAAGCCCATGTTCTGTCCCTTTCTGTCACCCAGTACAGCTGAGAAACCTGGCCCAGGGAAGCCCAGAGTCAGCCAGACAGTCATAGCAGAGCTCACACTGAAGCCTGTCTCCTGAGGCCCACGCTGTGTGCCCTACAGCACCCATCACACCACCTTTTCATCCTTGAGACTAAAGAGTGTAAAGATGTGAGTGTATTCCTTCACTTGGAGGACCTGGTGGCTTGCACCCAGGAAGGCTGTCCTCATCACTTATTTGGACCTTGGTTTCTTTCTGTTAGCGGTTGCCATGGATGCCAACTCCCGGTGTCCCGTGCGTGTTGGGGTAGAACTGTGCTCCACACGGTTTTCAGTGGCTCGGTTTTCAGAAGGAGATTGCCAGGCCTTTCTTCCGAGGTGCCTCCGAGTGCACTTGAACCTCCAGCCTTTGCGTTAGCAGCCCAGCACCTGAGCCTTTTGCACCACCCGGGACCCCTTTTGTGGGACCCACTGCTGGAACTTCAGACAGCTCACGGGTACTTCAGCATGAAGAGGGAAATCCTTTCTCTCCCTCCTTTCACGCCACCCCTACTCATCTCTCCAGCTCTCCCCCTAACAGTCGTTTCTATAAAGTAGTTCTGTTGCATGTTTGTGCGTTTAATACATGAGACTGCACTACCTGTATCGTTCGGTGCCTTTTCTCACTTGATAATGTGTGGTGTTCTGTTCCGGTCAGCAGTCAGCACAGAGCATTCTCCCACATTATTTTGATAAGGACGTAGTGCCCCAGGGTATGTTAGTCCCATCGGGTGTTCAGTTTGACCCCTGTTGCTAGGCTCCTAGGTGGTTTCTGATTTTTCCCCTTGGGACCTTACATTGCTGTGTGATGGTAAAGGAGACTAGGTAGATGGGAGGGCGCGCGGACTAGACAAGGTGGGGTGAGGTGTGGATTGGGGAGACTAGATAGATGGGAGGGTGCGCGGACTAGACAAGGTGGGGTGAGGTGTGGATTGGCCCCGCCAGGGCCCCCCGTCCCCCCGTGTGCACTGTCAGCAGCATCACTTTGACACGCCTTTACTAGAGCGCTTGTCACCTCCATCAGGTGGCACTGCCTTTAGCACCCAGACTGTGTCAGGTTTTCCTGAAGAACTGGGCATGGCTGCTCCTGGCACGGGGCCCTCTGTGTAGTCGGGGCTCAGTAAGCCCGGGAATGACAAGAGAGGCAGGCAGTCCCTCGTGAGGTCCTGCCAGGAGCCCCAAGGTTTGGAGCCAGGAGACCTTGGGGAAGAGGTCTGTAATAAGCAGGAGTTGGCCGGAGGGAGGCAGGCCGAGAAGCAGCCCATGTGGCTTCTGCCCTTTAGAAACTTTGTGCAGGGTTGTGTTCTCTGTCGGTTGTGTTCTCTGTCGTGTGGCACGCTGGGGAGGGAAGCGCTCTGCAGACAGGAGGAATCTCTTGAGGGGGAGGGCGGATGTGAGCTGGGCATTCCCTGCGGTGAGCAGGCGCGGCGCCAGCCGAGAAGGTGCTGCTGTCCCCCTGCCGGCTCCCAGCCTCTCAGGGGTGCTGAGGGACCCGGTGGCAGCGGGCGTTCGTCCCTGCCAGGAGCCCCTGGAGCTGCAGGCTGGACAGAAAGGTTGGCAGCAGGGGTATGGAGCAGAGGTAGAGAGAGGCCTTGGTCCCAGGGGCTCGGAGATGCCGAGGTTCCTCCGGAAGCGCTCAGGGTGCTGCCAGGCTGGAGGGAGGGAGCAGCCAGAGGCCGCAGGGAGTCTCAGGACCGCCCTGGGGACATGTGTGTCCTGCAGGCTTCAAACCAGTTTGAATTGGTTCAGTTTTGCATAAAGGTGAAACTGGGACAGACTTGAATTTTTGAAATTTGGCTGAAGCCAAATGATAACCAGAACAGGAAAAATGAGGGTTTGAAGCCCGGGAATGGGACGCTGAGAGGAGGCGGAGCGAGCCCTTTCACGAGCCTGATGTGGAAGAGTGGGTTATTCCCAGGACTGTGGAGTGTGGACACACGTTCAGAGTGGTTTAGCCCATTGCTGTCTTGGTTCAGGGCACCATGTTGTCAACTCTGCCTATCAAGAAAGACTGGGTTTTCTTTGTTATGTTAATGAGGCAGTTTTAGTTCTGAGTGTGTCTTAAGTCAATCTCTTTTGAGATATAAAAGAGACTAAACAAGCCAGCAGAGATGGGGGGGGGGGATAGATGCTACATGAAGAGGGCTAAGTCACAGGACCTTCCCTCAGCGGACAGCGAGAGCTTTCCCTTCGAGCTGGCTCCCTGAATTCAGACGTCTAGTCTCCTGAACCATGAGAAGACATTTCTGTCTGTTAAAGCCACCCCCGTGTGGTGTTTCTGTTACAGCAGCTCTAAGGTACTAAGGCAGTCACTGTGTAGTGTTGAGTGTTGAACCCATGGCTGCTCTCACAGGGCGTATGGAGCCGCGAGGTGGAAGGCTCACTCATGGAGTCCAGAGGGGCACGGGGGCAGGAGGACAGTGAGGCCGTCACTTGGGCTTGGTGAAGATCTCCCTTCCCTCCCCATTCCTCTCCCCATCTCGTAAATGGCTCATAGATAGAGTGACTGAGAAGATACACAAAGGACAGAAATTCAGAGTTCAGAGATGCTGACCACATGTGAGTCCATCTCTCTGGCCTTAGATATTTATGTTCATAAAATTGATTTTAGGAGGAGCCCTCGTGCAGCGGTCAGGCACTCGGCTGCTAACGCCACTGTCAGCGGTTTGAGCAGGTGCTCCTGCAGCACACAGAGCTGCTAGGTGGCCGTCAGCTCCGAGAAAGAGGACGGTCTTGGAGACCCTGGGGGCAGTTCCACTCTGGCCTCTAGGGGCGCTGTGAGTGGGAATGGACTCCAGGCAGTGGGTGTGGTTTGGGCTTTGCTTCTGTGAAGACTGACAGCCTTGGAAGCCCTGTGGGCAGTTCCACTCTGGCCTCTAGGGGCGCTGTGAGTCAGAATCGACTCCAGGGCAGTGGGCTGGTTTGGGCTTTGCTCCCATAAAGACTGACAGCCTTGGAGACCCTGTGGGCAGTTCCACTCTGGCCTCTAGGGGCGCTGTGGGTCAGAATGGACTCCAGGGCAGTGGGCTGGTTTGGGCTTT